GTTTCCATTTTGCTGCTAAACCCAGGGAAAGAGTTATTCAGTGACCACTATTTTAAATTTTTCTTTCTTTAGGTTTGGAAGACAGTTTGGCTGATGAAGGTGAGGCGTACACTTTAGATTTTATCTGTGTTCACTCACAGTAAATCAGCAGTTTTTTCTGACCTCCTTCAAAAGAAGAGCGACCTAAACGTATTTATTTCCCATGGCAACAGAGTGAAACCTCCAGATTTACCCATCAGCAGCCCCATATCAGCCAGGGCAGTCACTGTGAGGGAACTAGAGCTCCATCCAAAGGTAAGCGCTCTGCTTAGACATGAACAAAGTGGGAATTTGAAGGTGTCCCAAACACCTTAGGATTTTAAATAAAGATATAAATTTCTCTTAGTGAAACAATAATCTGGAAAGTATCTAAGAGTAAGAGCTGAAATCATTTGTCATACTGAGCTCTCTGACATTTTCTCAGACGCAATCAACTCAGCTGGGTTCATTCTAATCAGCATAAAAAGGAGCGACATGACCCAAATACTCTCAAATCTTTCCGTCAAGGGGTGCAGAAAAAGATGACACAGTACCATTTCAACACTTCAACAAACTTTTCTGTTTAAAGACTGACAGTCAGCCCGGCTGGCGTGGCTCAGTGGTTGAGTGTTGACCTATGAACCAGGAGATCACAGTTTGATTCTCGGTCAGGGCACATGCCTGGGTGCAGGCTTGATGCCCCATAGCGGGCATGCAGGAGGCAGCCAATCAATGATTCACTCTCATCACTGATGTTTCTATCTCTCTCTCTCTCTCTCTTCCTCTCTGAAATCAATAAAAATATGTTTTAAAAAATGGTTATTAAAAAAGTTATCTAGTGTATAATGTAGAAGACTTAACCTTTTAAATTAGAATAATTATCATTGAATTTTAGGCAGGATTAACGGTTAAATTAGTATCAATTACTAGATTTAAGTACACTTCATACTGGCCAATACCACATGTAGTCTATGAATGTCATTATTTTGAATTAAGAATCAATGTTAAACATTCCAAATTATGTTTAAAGTATTTTATATAACTTAAAATATATTTCTTTAAATGTTTCTTCAAATTTAAAATAAGGTCAATATTTAAAATGTCAAAAAAAATCTGTTTTGATTTTACAGAACAGCAGAGGGAAGGCAGAGATGGGGATTGAAGAGGTAAGAGATCAACCAAAGAACCTGTATGCAGCCAAATCCGGTTTGGCTCAGTGGTAGAGAGTTGGTCTGCGATTGAAAGATCCCAGGTTCGATTCCGGTCAAGGGCATGTACATTGGTTGTGGGTACATCCCGGTAGGGGGTGGGCAAGAGGCAGCTGGTCGATGTTTCTCTCTCATCGACATTTCTAGCTCTCTATCTCTCTCCCTTCCTCTTTAAAAAAAAAAAAAAAGAATCAATAAAAAATATATATAAAAAGAACCTGTATGCATATACTAATAGTATGCATAACCCATGGACCCTGACAATAGGGTGAGAGAGGCTAGCAGTGGGGGTCAGGGGCAGGCTATAAGGGGCCAATGGGAGAAAAAAAAGGGGGATATATGCAATACTTGCAACAATAATTTTTTTTTTTAAAGGAAAAGAAAAACAACAACAATATCAAGGCATTTGACACCCTGTTTCCCCGAAAATAAGACAGTGTCTTATATTAATTTTTTCTCCCAAAGTTGCGCTAGGTCTTATTTTATTTTTGGAGGATGTCTTATTTTTGGGGAAACACGGTAGAATCATTCTCTTCTAAATCATCACATTATCTTTAAAGTAATGAGTTAAAGATTTTAAAAAATCTGAAATTAGTTCATAAATGCTTTTCTTACTTTTCAAGACTCAAAAATCTTTATTTTGGATGGTTTTAGAAATATTAAAGGCACAGCATCAAAACAGAAGCTGCCTTCTTAAAGGAATATGGGTTTATAGTCAGAGAAACATGGATTTGAATATGAGCTCTGCCCATTACCAGCTGTAGGGCCTCTGGGACAAAGTAAACCTCTGAGCCTGCATTTCTTTATCTGTAGGATAACAGCAGGATCATAGGATGAATTAAGTAAATTCATGTGAGTTTTCATAGAATCTGCCAAAAAAGTAAGCTCACTCTTGTTTTTTCTTTCTTCCGCACTTCTAGTAATTTTCTGCTGTAATTTAAAAGATATTAACACAATCATAAGTAAGAAGATTCAGAGAAACAGGAGTATGTATAAGACATTTAGAAAAGAAAAATAAAGAAAATAGATAACTACCTCCTCAAGATTTTTTTACTTCCTCTGATCATTAAATGCAATTTTCTAAATTAAGAACCATGATGTCTGAACTAGCAACAAAGTTTGAAGGCAGCAATAGTATATTATACTTGCTACCAGAGAGCATTGAAGTGAAAATGTACTAAAGATACGACTCTCTATTTCCAGAAATTCACAAATCATTTTTCGTTAAGAGAGCCGCAAATATGAGCAATATACACAATGTGGGGGCGCTTGAACAATGTGGGGGTTCGGGGCACTGACTCCTGTGCACTCGAAAATCCATGTGTAACTTTTCACTTCCCCGAGACTTAACTACTAATAGCCTGCTGTTGACGGGAAGGCTTACTGATGATATAAACAATTAACACATGTTTTGCATGGTATATGAATTATTAAATTGCATTCTTACAACAAAATAAGCTAGGAAAAAGTGTTACTAAGAAAATCATACATTTGCAGTATTTACTTGAAAAATCCACAAATAAATGAACTTGAGTAGTTCAAATGTCAACTCTAATAACAGGAGGAAGACAGTGAAGTGTTTTAATTAGCTGAAATGTAATCCACAATGAACCATATAGAAACATCCTCTTAATAGGCACACATATCAAAGATGCTAGCCAGAGCAACATGGTACTGACACTACTAATTTATGTTCTTTTGTTTGGTTCTGAGCGTTGCAGAAGGCAGGCTACTCAGATATGGTATGAGTTAAACCATAATGTGCACTTACCAATTCTAAGAGAAATTACACTGAGAAACACAGGCACATCTCCTTAACATCTTCACCCCTTTTCTCTAGCATCCACTCTCCCACTTCCCATTTTTCTCTTACTGAAAGTATTATGTCCTTTTAGGCCACTTGTTTCTGGTTAAATAGAAATTTATCTGAACAGGACCTTATTTTAGATATTCTGACTCAATTACACGTTAACTTGAAAGAAGTTGATTGAACTACTCACATAAACAAATGAGGATCACAAATATTTGGAATTAGGAAAAAAAAAAAAAAAAGTAGAGAAATGAGAGGTCTGGATAACAAAGCCAGAACTTGCCTACTTAAAAAAAATATATCATTGTTTTGCCTCAGTTAAGAGAGAATTATGATAATTTGCTCCAATGATGTGCCTGCACCTCTTTTTCCAATAATCGTGTTTGTCAAATTGTTAAGGTTAAGGACCCCATTTTACCTATCAGGGGTAAAAAAACGGTAACAGATAAAAAACAAAACAGATGTCCTATACATTGCTGGACACGGGTTTGGTCAGGATTACCGACTTCATGGCTTCTGACTCTTCCCCTGAAATAAGGAAAGGGCAGAGCCTGTCTGCCTGCAGCCCCTCCATGGCCATGCCTTCCAATTCACCTGAATTCACTGATGCCGAGCTGATAAACGGGAATTAAGTGAATGGATGAAATGGTTGAAATGATCAGTCCTAGCACAGATAAGCTGCTTCATTATATAAATCTATGTAAGTTAAGGTGGCCTCAGGCTCTAGCCACCAAGCAAGGTTCTTTTTTAATTAAAGATGAATGTGTGACTGTTTGGGGAAGGGTGAACTGGGGATGCAACTTTGACTAACAATATTTGCATTTCAAATCAAAGGAAACATTTCTTAAACTGAAACGTTATTAAAAGTTCATTTTAACAACTAGTAAAATGCTTAATACTAGACATTCAGATAACATTTACTAGCATATTAACTTTTATGCTATGTAAATATAATAGGTAGTAAAAGACCAAATTAAGAGTTCAAACTATGATGATTATTGCACGAGGCAAGACTAGGAACCTGTATGAGAAAGGAGAGTTTCAACAGGAGGAAATTACCTTGTGGGCTACTAATGTAAATAATAATAAATAGTACATAGAGATATGCTACTCATTCAGTGCACACACACACAGACACACACACACACACACACACACATGTTTATATTCTAAAAATTAAATAGTAAATTATAGTAAAATGCTACACTATTTTTTTTAAATATCAAGGCTTAATATGTACTTAGTAATTAATATTTAGGGGGAAGGAATTAATACATGGTAAAATAATTTTGAGTAAACTGTTAGTTAACATATGTCAGCAATAACAGTGCCTATTTAAATCCTCATCTTTCTTCAAGATTATGCTGTTAAAATTATTCTAGATAAAAAATATAAGTGGACTAGCCATAGGTTCAATTATAAATACAGAATTGACAGAAACAGAAAAGATCTGTTTTCAATAAGCAAGGGCTGAAATCTAAGCCTAGGGACTGCACAAAAGGAAGGAGAAAAGATCATTTAAAAAATTACACATGGTTCTGATTTTTCAAAGTGGTAACATATTACTTTCCAAATTTGAAATTTCAAAAAAGTATTCCATACTTTCATACCAAAACAAAATGATAATACTTGCTATTTTTATTTCTCTTGGCTGTAATATATAAATAATAATGATGATGATCATAATTGGATGATCATAAAAGAATGAACAACTTTTTCAGAATTAAGAATAAGGGGCAGGTAGTATCAGAAAAGATTCAAAGAAGTCTTATTTCTAATCAAAGCACATTTTTCCCCCAACTAAGTTCTCCTTCCAAAGAACATCAGGCTGAATGGAAAGAAGCCGACACATGTGCCCAGTCATGGCTAGAATGACATGTCCAGGGAACAGGAGATGCCGCTATTTCCATTATCCATTGAACACCTTGGCAATTCTTATTTCATCCTGAGAATGCGATACTTACTCTTGAACTGCTCTGGCTATGGAAAGGGCCGTGGATCCAGTTTCATTAACGCTATCTAAGGTCACATTTGGCAGGTCATCATCATCACTGTCACTTTTACTTTGTCTGGGAGATAGGCCTCGGGGGTCCATTTGTGCTGGGGAGAAAAGGCATATATATGAATTAAAATTAGCATGCAAAAAGTTAACCTGGTCCTGGATCAATACCAAGCATGGAAGGTCTCTTCTGTGTATATCACGCACATGGAATTCTCTAGAAATCCCAGGAATTAGTGAAAGCGACGTAGTTTATGTACTGAGCACTCACTGACTCTTTTCCCTTGTTCATTTGATTTACAAAACCTTCATCAGCTCTCAATAGTTTCAGAATATGACTACGGAATATAAACTATAAAATCCACGATATATCTACTCCTGAGGAGTCAGATACTAATTAGGTAGCCCACGAGTTAGTGCTGGACCCTCTGGCTTCTCCTTGCTTCTGCTGCCAGAATCCTGACCACCTGACTGTTCTTGCTTACAGCTCTCATAATCAGCTGACAGAAGAACAAGGTTTGCAAGACTCAAAATTTTAAGTACCTTTCATACTTCAGTGAATGACTATCATCTTCAGTTTATTACTACTACAATTTGAGTAGAAAAAAATGTCAGAAGCAGTAGTAGTGTTTTTAATTATGTGGTTATAAGTGCTAAAAAGTATTCTTTGTATCCATCATGATTTCATTTTTCAAAAGGGCATTTCCAGATACACCCCCCCGCCCCGCCCCGCTTCCGCCACACTGTGAATTTACCAAAGCAAGAAACACTCCACGACTTGAGCCTTGTTGACCAGAACTTTCAGATCCTTTCAAATGAGAGGATTATAGTCAACATTTCATATCTTAACTTGAATTTTAAAAAAGTTAGGTTGCATTTCCACCTCCTCCTCTCTATGAACAGCTTTAATAACCATAGTGTAGGATTTCCATCAGCCCTCACATCAAGCACAAAACACCTTCTAAATTAAAAGCACGGCACTAGCTGCCAATGGCATTGTTAGAGCACATGGCTTCAAAGCCAGCCAGTTCCAAGCAGGTTGCCACTCCTCAAAATGCCCAACAACATTTCTAAAACCACTGCTGCTTACAAAAAGCAAATCCACTTAAAGTCATAGTTACAATGACATCCGGGTATATTTACAATTTCATTTTTTTCTCAAAAATTTTTTTCTTACTGTGTATTATGCATTAGGTAGATTATCAGGAAATGCTAGTATTTCATCATATTTTACCCACAAACAGACAATTTTTTTTTATGATTCTACCTAACATTTACAATATGAATAGAAAAACTATACCTAGAGAGTTTCAACATGTTTGTAACTAAACATGGTTATGAAGGAACTTATATCTGTTGAACCTACTGCCACACATTATTCCTGTAAATATACACATTTTAAAATGTAGTATGAACAATGAAAGTGCTTGGTAATTGTTGGTTAAATTAAAGAGAAAATAACTCAAATAACCTAAACCAGTGGTTCTTGAGCAAGGGCAAATTTCTCCCCAAGAGACATTTGGCAATGTCTGGAGACATTTTAATTTGTCACTACTTGGGAAGAGAGAGCTGTTATTGGCATCTTCAATGATACTCCTAGCCATCCCACAATGCACATGACAGTCAGTCCCCCATGACAGAGAATTAACTAGTCTAAAATGTCAAGGGTGCCAGGTTGAAAAATTCTGAGCTTGACATTTAAGGGTTTGGATATAGAAACTAGAAAATATATTAAGTCATAATATTTTTTGGCCCTCAAATAAAACAATACACTGTTATGTGACTTAGCCCTCACCAATTCTCCATATACAAACAGCATTCGCTTCCACAAATGCAGTAACACTCATTAAGGGTTTTGTCCCACACAAGGTGGAACAAAAAAGACTTTCTGTCTGATCTCTAAAGAAGATTTCCTAGATGAGGGATGTTGGATAAACTCTTTCTAGAAAGGACAAGTTCTGCAACCATTTAATAACAGAGAACTCCTTAAGCATTCAGTCACTCCAAAGGCACTGAGTCACTGTATCATTAAAGATTTGTCCTGGCAGCAGGCAACAGAAACGGGCTCGGGATAACTTCTATTAAACAGAATGTACTGGGAAGATACTGAATAGCTCAAAGGAAGTAAGGCAATGATGAACAACCAGCACTCATGCAGCATAGGTCAGAGGGATCATACAGGCATTTCAACCGGGAATTCATAGACAGTTTCTTGTGGACAATCTGTTATAGAATGATTCTGTTACCAATCATTCATAACTCTCAAATCCAGCCAAAAAAGAGTAACAGATCTATCTAGGCTTCCGAATCACATATTGTGTGGTGTTATATATGCCTGCAAATGTCAACAGTTTAACATTTAAAGTTGTTGAAACATGATGCACTGAGATTCCTTTGCCAAGATGCCAACTTAACAGCTAGCTGAAGATAAGGGAATACTCTGGTGGTCCTATTTTGTCCAAGGAAACTAGAGTTATCATAGGTAAGAAATACAACTCAAGGAAGATACGGGCAATTAACCAATAAGCAATTTGACTCTGAAATTTAAAATCTAGCCATATAAAAGACTCTAAATAGATGGTGTGAGAGTTGATCATCTAAATTATGTTATGTTTATATTTCAATGAAAGTTTAAAATATGCTAAATATGATATCTTTTTATGTACTCTTCAGGAACATGATAATTAAGGATTTCTTTCCAATATTTTCAATCAATATTATGAAATACATCTGCTACCATCATGCTGAGAAACTCTTTTTTACCCATACCATCAGCCAAGTTGAGGAAGCAATTAGAAAGGCTTTTTAAAATCTGCATTGCTGATTAGGTCAGATGATTAGCTTATCTGCATACTTGCATAATCCCATTCTCCTTTTATGAAATGTGGGATATGGACATCTGCCTTCCTTAACCTCCATTAGTCTCTGAGTTTCTCAGTTCATTTAGCAAGCACCCATTCACTGGGGTGCCCATTCACAGAAAATGGAAAAGTACCCTGAGCACCAGAACCAAAAACATACCCACCTCCCTACATAAGAGAGCGATACTAGTAATGACCTACAGGCATCTGAAAGGAATGTACATGTGAGATTCTGTTCCTTTTCAAGGAGAAGGGGATCAGACCACTTGGAAAATGCCAGCCCATTGCTGGTGGAGGTGCTGTGGAAGACTGTGTGAGCTTCACTCGCTGTGACGAAATCCCTGGGAGGATAACTGCAGAACCCCAACACTTGACGTTGAACCCATTTACTCTGACTTTCAAATACACACTTAGCAGTAAATTGTTCCTGTAAAGGTCACCCCAATAAATCATGATAAATGACTTATGATGAACTGCTGGCTTGGCACCTGGTCACCATCTGAAGAAGCCCAGGAGAACCCAAGAGACAAGCTGCTCAGCGGGCAGCCAACCCCAACTGATGGGAGCCATGCTAGATGGACCGACCACATTGCAGCCGCCCATACACATGACTAGCTTAAGCATTTTCTGGCAAAACCCATTCCAAATATTTGACTTACAAAACTGTGAGCAAATAAAATAGTTGCTATTTTATTATAATCTACTAAAGTTTGGGATGCTTTTGTTACACAGCACTACAGCAATACAAAAATCAATGTGCCATGTTACTCTCCCACTCCTTCAGAGATTTTCCGGCAATGATGTGGACACAGGGCTGCTACAGTTAGAGTCAGCCTATCACTCTCCTCTCTGGTCTCCTCCTAAGAGGAAGCCTAGCCCTAAGTAGCATACATTTAAGTGAGCTATTAATATGAAAAAGAAAAAGAAAAGCTACATGTTCTATCTGACATATTTTCTTTCTCAAGTCTAAATATGTCAAATGTTTTGGTTCTGAAGCATCTTCCTTGATCCTTGGTCGTGCCTCAGGTGGGCTTCTCCCAAAAGGGGCCATCGGTTGGCATTACTGCTCAGGAGAACAAAGCTTTCCTACTCAATCTCACCTGGGTGGATCCTCCGAGGGTGGGGGTTACCGAAAGTCCAGTACATCTGCCTCTCATCCACACATCTGAGACAGGCTCACTTTTCTTTCCCCCAGGTCACAGTAGACTGGCACCGACACAGGGACCTCAGTGCATTCTCACTTCCCCCACCTCATCCTAGGCACTCTCCCAACTTCCTTAGACTTCCTTAGGCCTATTTGGCTATTGTTAAAGGAAAGGACATTTTTTCCTTAAGTCACCATATTAAATATGTACAAACAAACATCTATGAACATGCATGGACATTTACAAAGTAACCTTTTCTAACCAGAATGAATCACAGAAGGAATTATTCAAACCTATCTACATCCACTATCAGGGCCAGAGGGGAGAGACGGGGACACAGATGGACAGAAGGGGTGTGAGGCAGCCGGCGGCTGGAGTGCTGTCAGCCTTCCTCCCCCCCATTCAGTCACTGACAGGCTGCCTGCCACCCACAGATGCCCTCATTGTTCGCCCTGCCAAGGCTGAAGCATGCCCCAGTTAGGCAGGAGGGCTGCTGCTGCTGGAGAAAGAAGGGCAGTGGGAGAAGGATGGGAGGGAGGGAAAAAATGTTTGGAGGGAAGAAGGTGCAGGGAGGAAGTCACAGCATCATGGCATCTGAGAGTAGAAGACTATCCTCTTAGGAGCAATTCCTGTACTCATCTGGTGCAGAACTTGATCCTAAAAGGATAGGCACAGTGTTTCTTTAGGATGAAAACAGAGCTCTGGCTTCAGAGAACCTGGGTGTGACTTCTGGGCCTGTCACTAGCCACCATCTGACCTTGAGCATCTGATTTCCCACAGCTCATGCCTCAGGTTCTCCTGCCCTTGCTGCTGCGCTGAGCAAATGAGATAATGTATGCAAAGCATTTAGTACGCTGCTTGGCACTTAGCAGTCAATCATCATTCCATTTTATTCTGACGGTAAATCCAGTGCTCCTTCAACCATCCCTTCTATCACAATATTTCCAAGTCCCTCACCTTTTCCTGGACTAATTCAAATTAGGCAGTGTTTTTGTTTTTTAATACTTAAACTGAAAATACCACTACAGAATATATATTGGATAATATATAAAACCACTACTTCTGTTGACCCACAAATTCATTTATGGATTCGGT